CTCCCGGTGCCATCCCTCGAGGGGATCCCCCCGCACCCCAGGTGTGGTCACCCGCGAGACCCCTGGTGCTCCCAGATGAGGCACCGGTGTCTCCCGGCGAGGTACCGGGGGGCTCAGCCCCACGCTGTGTATCATGACCCCCCCCCTCGCCGGCACCTGCCCTTGAGCCAGCAGCCCCCCAGTGCCAGCACCCCCTGGGACCGTCCCTCCTGCCCCTGCATCCCGCCTGACCTTGGCACACTGCTGTGACCCTGCCTGCCTGTGGCCAACCGGGCAGTGAAATCCCCCAGTAAGCTCCTCCGTGGAGTGGCCTCATTTTCCCAGGGGTGCCGGGGCTGCCCCGTTGGGGGCTGCACAGCAACGCAACGGGCAACGGGCCTAGACTGGCAAAGGCAGCATCTGATGGCTCTTGTCACACAGTGGCCCCAATGCTCCAGAGCTCTGCCTCAGTTTCCCCATCTCCCACCACCCACAGCCTCGGAGAGGCACCACGATGCAGCAAAGGGTCCCAGCACCCATGGATGCCCCAGCAAGGGGCTTCGGCATTGGGGACCTGCCAGAAGCTCACGTGGCTCTGAGCCCAGAGCTAAGGTCTGCCGCCCTCCACATGTCTCTGCAGAGCAGGTGCATACCACGTTTTGCTTGATTTCAGAATTCTCCATAGCCAAAACCCTTCCTTCCCTCTGCCGTGGCACCGGGAGCATCCTTCCGAGGTCTCTGTGTGTGCAGCGGGTAGAGGAGTGCCGGGGTGAGCACAGGGGTGCAGCACACTGGTATTGCAGGAATGCAGCCCGGGATGATGTACTTTGCCCCAAAATGCCCCCTGTGCTCCCAGGGACACTGTGGGCACAGCCAAGCCCACTGGAGCCAGCAGCACATGACCTCCCTGGGGCTGGGCTGAGCCCCAGGAACTCGCACAGATGAACAGGTGCGGAGCTGGGGAGCAGGGTCAGCTCGTCCCTGCCGCACAGACGTGGCTGAGCAGCCGCCTCGGGCCCTTGGGCTGCGCTCAGCTGGGCGCCACTGGCCCCCAGCACTTCCATTTTCCTCCCTGCAGGATACAGTGCTCGGGCTGCCGCTTCGGCCACTCCTGCTGCCCCCGGCTTCCCACCCCTGCGGCCTCCACAGCCCCCACTGTGCCGCTCCATCTGCTCTCCGCCTGCTCCCGGCCCTGCGCCAACCAGCCTCATGCTGGAGCCGAGCACAGGAGAGGCTCGTGATGCCCGCAGGAGCATGGGCCAGGCCAACTCACTGCCCAGGGGTGTGCCAGGGCTCAGCATCCACCATGGGTCCAGTCACCCAAATGATGAAGGAGCCCAAATCCTATGGCAATGCACAGAGGCTCGGGGCATGGAGGATGCTGCTGCCAGGTTCCTGCCATGAGGGCATCCCTGTGGTGCCACCCTCTGTCCCTGCAGCTGTGGCCCTGGGTCACACCTGCATAGATTAAGATCACCCGTCCAGAGCTCTGTGCTTCAGGTGGCCAGAGGGCCCCGGCTGCCCAAGGGCAGGGGATGAGCAGGCTGGACCACGTCCCCCAAGCCCCATGGCGAGGGGCGCTGGGACCATCTGCTCCCCACGGGTGGCTGCTATTTTAGGCTGGAAAGTGCTGAGGGATCCAACAGGCCCATGGGTATGTCTCCATGCCAACAGAGATGGCAGCGCCATGGCATGTGCTGAGGTCACTGGGGCTGTGGACACCTCCTCATCAGGCCCAGGGCAGCCTGGGGGAGAAAGGAAGGGGAAGATCCCACAGGAGGAGGAGAAGGGACTCTTGGGCAGGAGTGGGGGGTGGCCCCCCCGGCCTCACGTCTGCTGCTTGCAGGGATGGCAGCCCCTCGGACAGAGGGGGACCCCCAGCAGTAACCTCAGATGGGCAGCAGGGATCTGTGGGAGGGACAGGGCTGTCCGCTACCCCTGTGCAAAGGACAGTGGTGTTGGGCCCCCATCATGACTGTGCAGGTCTGGGCTTGTCCCCAGCTGAGCTGCTGGGGGCCCCCGTCCTGCCGGTGGGGGACATGTGAGTGGCCAGAGGGACAACACAAGCCGGGGCTTGTTTCCATGACCCTGCAGGGAAAAGGGCAGCCTGGCGCCTGTCCCAAGGCAGGAGCAACTTCTGCCTCTGCGTTGGGGTGTGTGAGCTGGCTGTCCTGCTGTGGTTTGCCACTGGGGCCAGGAGCAACCAGGCTGGGCCCGTGGGGGGGCAACCCCCCGCCTCTGCCAGGGTTTCTACCTGCTCGCTGCTGGGTCCTCCCCCAGCCCCAACGGGGAGCAAAGCCGAGATGTGCGCACCATTCCCATGGCTCAGTTTCCCCGCCAGCTCCTGCTTCAGTCTCTGCTGATAGCAGCTGGGGAATGCCCCCCCCCC